CAGCTCCCCCTGCACCGCCTCCTCTGCCCCACCCACTGCCCACCTCCTCTGCCCCCCAGCCCAACGCCAGCCCTCAGCTCCCCCTGCACCGCCTCCTCCGCCCCAGGTACCGCCCTCTTGCTCGCAGGCTCCACCCCTTAGTTCTCCGCCCAACCCCAGGCTCCTCCCCCTCAGCCCAAGCCCCGCCTCCCTCGGTCCCCCATCTGCCCTGGCCCCTCCCCACTCTTCACCCAGCTGCCTCTTGGCTTCGGCCCAGGTCGGCTCGTTGCCGCGCAGGATCATGACGGCTTGCATCACCGTCTCCACCAGCGTGGGCGGGCGCCCGTAGGACTTGATCTCCGTCATGTCCTTCTTGTTGAGCGACTCCAGGGCCTGGGGGGGGGGAGGCAGGTTGGGGAGGTGCCCGAGGGGAAGGGCCCCACTGCCAAGGGCTCTGGAGCACCACCCGCAGGACAGACCCCAGAGCCAGAGCAGCCGGGTCCCACCCCTTTGCCCGTTACCTTCATGGCCTCCTCCAGCGCGGGCAGCGCCTCCTCCAGGTCCTTCTGGGCGTTGTCAGCCAGCGTCTTGCACTTGATCTCCTCTGCGGCGATCTTCTCGCTGTTAGCGCCCACCGTCTGGGGAGAGGGGCCAGGCAGGGCAGCCGTGGGGCAGGGGCTTTGCCGAGTCTCCCCTCCTGCCCCACGCCCTCACCGCGCGTCTGGATCCGGGACCCCCCACGCCCGTCAGCCCGCGTCCGGATCCGAACCACCCATGCCCGTCAACCCGCATCCAAATCTGGGACCCCCGCGCCCATCAGCCCGCATCCGGATCCGGGCCCCCCACGCCCGTCAGCCCGCGCCCAGATCCGGGCCCCCCACACCCGTCAGCCAGCGTCCGGATCCGGGACCCCTGCGCCCGTCAGCCAGCATCCGGATCTGGGACTCCCGCGCCCATCAGCCCGCGCCCGGATCCGGGACCCCCGTGCCCGTCAGTCCGTGTCCGGATCCGGGACCCCTGCGCCCATCAGACCGAGTCCGGGCCCTTCCACACCCATCAGCCCGCGTCCAGATCCGGACCCCCCGTACCTGTCAGCCCGCGTCCGGATCCAGGCACCCCGTGCCCATCAGCCCACGTCCGGATCCGGGCCCCCCGCGCCCATCAGCCAAAGTCCTGATCCAGGCCCCCCCATGCCTGTCAGCTCACATCCGGATCTGGCCCCACCGTGCCCGTCAGCCCATGCCCAGATCTGAGCCCAGCGCCAACCCCCACACCCAGATCCGAGCCCTGCCCCCGCACGCATCGGCCCGTACCCGGATCCGAGCCCTGCCCCCGCACCCATCAGCCTGCGCCCGGATCCGAGCCCGGCCCCTGCCCCAGGATCCAAGCCCGGCCCCCGCCCCCGCCCGCCTCACCTTCTGCTGCTCGTCGGCCTCTCTCTTCTGCCGCACAATGATGACCAGGTACTCCTCGCACTGCTTCTGGAACTCCGCCACCTTCTTCTTGGCGTCCTCCAGCTCCAGCGACATCACCTCCACCTTGTGGCGTGTCTCGTCGATCTTGGAGAGCCCATTGCGCAGCTTGTTGGCCTGGTCCGAGAGCTCCTTGCGCTTCTCCGCCAGGAGCCTGCGGGGAGACGGCCCCGGGGCCCTTCCACCTGAGCCATGCCTCACAGCGCCGGGCGGGGCTCTCTGCCAGACTACAGCCCCCATGATGCACCAGGGACCCCTCTAATGCATCCCCAAGAGGGGACAAAACAATGCCTCATGGGAGATGTAGTCTGGCTGGGGCGCCTGGCCTAGAGAGGAGGATGGGAGCATGAGGTGCCTGAACTACAACTCCCATGAGCCACTGTGGTGCCCGTTGCCAATGAAATATTTCAATCCAGGGCTGAAACGACATTTGCCATGGGAAACCCGCCCCCCTTTTTCCCATCAGTTCTGGGCCTCAGCCCGGGGGATGGGGCTACCGGAGCCCGGCAGATCTCCTCAGCTCCCCTGCCCCCGGGGAGACCCCTCTGCGTCCGGGCAGATCCCTTCGGCTCCCACCGGCCCACCCTCGGGGAGACCCCTCCGTGTCCGGGCAGATCCCCTCGCGCTCCCACCGGCCCCTCGGTTCCCCAGCCCGTATCCCGGTTGCTGGCCCGCGGGACCGTGAGGCAGGGACTCACTTCTTGTAGCCCGAGACTAGCTCCAGGTAGTTGGTGGGGGTGACGTAGTTATGGCGCCGGAGCTCCAGGAGCATCTTGTGCGAGTAAGAGGCCACGGACCAGTGCATGGTCACAAAGATCCTGGCCACTTTCTTGTGGATCTGGGGAAGCAGATGGGTCCGGGTCAGTGGTGGGGAGGGGGCGCCCAGACGGGGAGGGGTTGGTGGAGGGGAGGGGGTGCCACCAGGGGCCCTGCTTCCTCCCTTGAGGGAGAAGATGGGAAAGGACCAGCTTTGCAGTAACCGATGTGTCTGCAGGGGGCACGGAGATGCAGCCACCTCTGGGGAGAGGCATGGCTGGCTCCAGGAAGGGGCGCGGACAGATGGCTGGCTCCGGGGAGGGGTGTGATGTTATTGATATAATCTGGGACCATATAGATCATTGTTGCAACCAAGGTCCTTTAGTGGCACCCAAATCTTGTATAAAGGGGGTCAAATGGGGTGTCTAAGACAAGGTTATGGTTTACTGGTTATGATTAGGCTGTCTATATGTGTGTATCAATTTTGTAGTTGAAGTTATGAATATTAGCTCTATACTGTCTGTATTTCAAACTTATGCTATGCTGCTGGGTGACATCCCAGACAAACTGGTGTTAGCTCTGCCTAGCCTGCTTGATGGCCCATTAAGGACCATCAGCTATACAATGGACCCATTGAGAGAAGGCAAATATGCCTTGAGACTCAGCAAAGTATGCAGGAACTTGCCCAGGTGACTCCAGACTCCATTTTGCTGTAATTTTCCACAGTAAGGACAAAGAGGTGTTCTTACACCTGGAAAAGACTATATAAGGCTGGTTTCAGAGTAGCAGCCGTGTTAGTCTGTATCCGCAAAAATAACAGGAGTACTTGTGGCACCTTAGAGACTAACAAATTTATTAGAGCATAAGCTTTCGTGGGCTACAACCCACTTCTTCGGATGCATATAGAGTGAAATATATTGAGGAGATATATATACACACATACAGAGAGCATGAACAGGTGGGAGTTGTCTTACCAACTCTGAGAGGCCAATTAAGTAAGAGAAAAAAAACTTTTGAAGTGATAATCAAGATAGCCCAGTACAGACAGT